ACCGAACAAGACCTTTTATTGTAGCAGCTGCCCACCGTCACATAGCGGGGCCAGAATCGGTTCCCCAGGTCCTGCCATGTGTGCACCACTGGACAGAAGGCATAGGACCACAGCCACAGCTGAAGCCTTCTTCTGAGCTTCTTACTGGGCTTGTGTTTTTTCCCATGCTGGATCTCAAACTCCATGGCTTTGATTTCTTTGGGCATGGTGCCGGTGGGACGCTTGAAGAGTTCGGACTCGTTCAGGTCGTCCTGTCCTGCGTATTTGTCCTCCGGTGGACTGATGGACATGAAGTTCTGGTCGAAGTGACTGCCTAGCATGGCTCTGAGTTCGGTCTCGTTCAGATCCCGCTCCTTAGGGTCCAGTATGGGATCCGGGTCCTCCTTGAGTTCCACTATAGGCAGAGTGTCACTGGGAATGGGACGGAGGAGGTAGTAATGTTGGCACATCCCTTCTTCTATCCTGAATCCGAGGGAGAAAATGAGCACGTATGTAGCCAGAAAATACGGCACGTTATCCATCTTTTCGGCTGATTAATCCTCGCGCTTGAGTGTTCGCTTGAGTTTTTGGCGAGCCGTGAGAGCGCAGTCTCCAGCGCGCGCGGTGTCTACCCACGAGCGTTCTCCTTAGAAAGTGTTCGTTCAATTCAAACGGCACTATCCTCGGCGCCACTTCGCGCTTAAATGTGATCGGAGATCTAAGAACGCTGTGTCAGTGTCTACTTTGTGGTCATTCCGCGCGTCTCGTTCCGCTTTTACGCACAGGTTCCCATCAGCAGAAGGGCTCATGACAGCATCAGGCGTTTTCAGCCGGATCCGGTCTCCTTTTTGAGCTCGCGGGCTCCTCGCGTCTGAATCCGGAGTCCTGGTGTCTGAGGATCCGCATGGTTTCTGGTGACGGGCGCCGAACTGAGAATCACCTGGCTCGTCTCATTGATCCTCGCGGGTCGCGATAGAACCCAAAGACCCATTCTCAGTTGTGGGTCTGTTGCCAGAGCTCCACGACACCTCCTTCTATTTAGGGAGGGGTGTCCGAATGTACACAACTTAATAATAAATAAAAAAAAGTTAAAAAAGTTAAAGTTTACAAACATATTTTTAAAGATAATCTTTTAAACCAATATACAATTTTTTTAATATATATTTTATTTATTGAGTTGCAAATATTGACAAGGTTATTGCACCAGACCTGAATCAAATATGCCTTTTCATAAAGTTTTATGCTCAAGTCACATACCAACAAATATTATTAAAATATTAGTAATATTTTAAAACAAACTGCTTCACTCCTTCATTTTCGAAATAAATACTATTAAAAGATTGAAAGGATATCAGCATTTCCAAGAATTTCATCGGTTTATGATCAGTTTCTGCACAGTTACACCGCCTTCACATTTAAGGCTCACCAAAATAAAACAAAAAAACTCAATTCAAAAATCTTTTCATTATCGATGATGTGCATTCAAGTGATTTTTGAAACTGATGCAGACGAAAACGTTTATTAAAAGATGTATTAAATTGTTCATTACATGTAGGCCTGTTACAAAAGTGATGTGAAAGATATGTAATGTATGCTGCAGTTTAAATCATTCTCAGCTGATATCAGCTTACTCTGAAACGCGTTCTGAAATCAAATCAATGGGTGCCACTGTTCACATGAAATGGGTTTTTTGGCTTCTCTTCCAATGACAAGGTTGCATTCAGACATCCCAAGATATTCCTCTGCTCCTCTTTAACGTTTAAATTGACCTTAGAGCAATTTTCTGGATTGCTCCTGTGTCAGCGAGTGTCCGGCGCCAGTAGAATGCGAGTTCTTATTTAAAAGAAAGGAAGTGGGCTGAAATTATGTTTTTGAGATAAGCTTGCCAACCGACTGTAGTGACGAAGGAATCTGTGGCCCTTGAAAATGGCCTATCCTCCGGCTAGAATTACAGAACGCAGGACCGGCACAGTCTCCCGGTGAACAAAGACATTTCTGAGAGCCAAATAAAGAGCTACGCTGTTTTCCAGAGCCCTCCATATGAACATCAAACTGATTAATGCATTTGTGATGAACAGACGCCATACTGTCTTAGTATTAAATGTCACTCATAATAAGTGTCTTAACCTGTGAACCGCGGCTCAGTCGATGTATGCTGTTGTACTCTCGTGGATTCCTTCGTTCTGTCTTGTAATTTGTACGAATGACTGTTTAACTGTGTTACAGTGGTTTCCATGGAAGTGTGTGTTTGGACACATAGCAAAGTGGATGAGAGGCCATATTCAAACAGGCCCCTGTCAATTTTAGCTGCAAATTGAGAACATTGCGTCATTCCAGACATAATCATCAGATCATCTTCTCGATAGCAATATTCACCACGGTTTGAGTTCGTTTCCAACATACACATACATTCTCATTTCTTCCCTGAACTGATGGCCAGATCCACGTGTTTCAAATCATCTGGAGGTATATTTGTCCTTTGATTTCCGTGGAATATCTGGGCAAAGGCCAGTCACGCCTCCATGACCATCAATGTCTGATCCGACTCTGAAGTTCACTTAATCTTAATGATGGATCAGAAGGCCTCCCAGCTCGAGGTCAAAATATTCCCGATTCTCTCGTGACCCAGCTAGATAAAAATGTCATTTGTTTTTGTTTAGTTCCCTGTGAAGACCTTTGATGATCTAACAAGAGAGCAATTTGAACGCTCGATTTGAAAGTTACGGTTTCTAACATGCGGTCAGTTCCGTTTTAAATACAAACATACACACAAACACAGTCTCTGTTTGGCCTGTTCGTTTAAATTGTTAACATTGTAAACCAAGCTTCTTATCAATGTCTTCAAAATATTAAACCCATATAACAAACACTAATAAAATATAAATATATTATAAAAAATATCATTAAAACATTTTTTAAATATTCACATAATATAATTTTGCTATATTATATATTGTCAATTGGCCTGTTTAAATTGTTTACATTGTACACCAAGCTCCATATCAAGTTATAAAAATATGAAACTATAATAATAAAAATATAAGTATATTATAAAATAATTAAAAATAAATATTTATAAAATATAATTTTCTGTATTCTGTTTTACTGCAATTTTCTATATTTTTAAATCTGTAGTCAACCTCTGAAGAATTAACATTTCATAATCATACATTTTGATTGGCCTCTTTGTTTAAATTGTTAACATTGCAAACTAAGTTTAATTTCAATTTATAACTTTCATTACAACTTTCATGAGCTGTAAGCTCTAATCATCAAAATTAAAACAAAAAAACTTTTGAAATGTTTTACTTTACATGTAAGGAATCTAGAATATATGAAAGTTTCACTTTTTGAAACAAGTTACAGAAAAAAATGAATTTTTCACGATATTCTCTTTTATCGAGATGCACCTGTATTTAAAATTACAATTACTTGAATAGGTCTGAAATTAAAGAAACACAAATAACATATCATAAAATATTTACACTGGAATGTTTATTTTTTATGACTTAAATACATCTGTCACAACGTCATATTCAAGATGCATCACAAAAAGCAAACAAGTTACATCAGAAACCTCTACGACAAGGGACCAACCATCAAAAATGCAATACTGAAATATATTATTTGGATCAATAAATGCATAATGCAAAAATATACAGATATGATGCTTTTTAATTGTTTTGGCTTGCATTGTGCACAGTATAAAGGTATCAAGACAAATATACCATATCATTTAACAATAACACCCTAACTGGAATGCCAGTTGCAAAGAGTTCAATGATTTAACTGGAATATAGGTAAAGTGGAATATGTTAAATAATGCCTCATGTCTGTGGGCTTGTGTTGAATGCACACCGGTGTGTCAGAACAGTGCATTTACCCACAGGATCTGGAGCACCAACTGACATCACTGTACATTAACTGGAAGATGAAATCGTTTTTTACAATCCTTCACAGGAGAAACTCCAGTCGCGACATATATTTTTTGGAAATCAAACATTTTATGCAAATACCATTTTTCTTTCTTTTTTTCATAAAAAACACTACAAACATGAATAAATTGTTGAAACATTGCAACAGACACATTCACAATGTTGCTTGCGAAAGCTGCCCTTTTCATTCGGGGAAAAATATTTCACTTATTTACAGGGCGTACATATGGATTATGTGAATAAATATATACTATATTCACAATAAATCTGTTAGGTAATAATCATTGCAACATGAATGTGGTATAGTTTTACAGAATTAATGATGCATTACTAAACAAAGTACCTTTTTGGTTATGTCCTTAGACCATAACTTGCATTTCAAATAACTATGGCTTTATTGACAAAATGAGTGCTGTGATATTCGAAATTATGTAAGAAAAATAATTAACTTCCAAATAATTTAAATGTATGTTTATATAAGTGGCACAAATTTGCGGTACAAGCAAATAAGGTTCCTTCCTCTGCAAAAGGTCAAAAGTGGTCCGATTCAAAAGAATCCAGCTGTCAAACTCTTATTACAGTAAAAGTTGTGGGAGGCAAATATACTGTATATATTAAAAGTGCAGTTTTTATCATTCCTTCAACCTGTAAAACATAAGTGGTTTTCATTTCCTTTCATAACAGTGGGTTACCCAGCATAAATAGGAACAGAAACAAATGACAACGAATCTTCAAATGTGAACAATCACACGCCACAAACCACCATCATATGGTAAACATCGCACAACTCAAGGTATTTTTCAATGAAACACATTCTGTGGAACAAATGTCACGCTCTCTTCCCTTAGAACTACTTACCAGCTTTTTAATTTAAGAAGGGCTCATGTTTGGTAACAGAGTCTGTAGTGATGGGATCATTTTTTTATTTAATCCAGTGTTTCTGAACACTGAAATGCAATCTATTAGAAACAGATGTAGTGTAAAGTGGATGATGCCACTTCATACATCAATTGTAAGAGCAAACAATACTAAATGGGCAGTGAAATGAGCAGATACATCGATCTTTCATAGCAAGTAAACACAAACTGAATTTTAACCGACCCTCAAATCACCTAAATCCACTCTTCACCTAAAAACACCACAACAGAGCCCAACAGCATGTTTCCGGATGTAAAAATCCCATTCATTTTCTCCACAGAGAACTTCAAAACAGACTAACCAAAGGTTATATCAATTAATTTAGATATGGTCATATATATTTTTTAAAAAGCAATGTTACATGTTTGTAGATATAGATAGATAGATAGATTTATAACATTGTTTTTAAAATTTACTTAAATATTTTTTATATATTGTATTTTGTATAAATGTTATATATATATATATATATATATATACAAACATACATACATTTGTCTGTGGTCTTCACAGAGTATGTAGACAGCGATAGGTCCTCCATGTCCTTGGTGCACGATTCGGTTTCCAGGATGGACTTGGAGCAAGCACTGTATTTGAGATCATGCAGCTGAAGAACATCAGGAGCGCTACCGCTGAGGACGTGCACAGCCTGATGGGAGAGATCCTGGGCTGAGGAGTAAACTAAGTCCAGGTCACGAGGGCTCAGAGCGTCACTGGAGTCGTAGTCACTGTCTGTGGGGAGAAAGACCTCCGAACAGCCCTCTTCATCTGAACCTGGTTGGGACTCTGCAAGAGATGGGGATTGAAATAATAGGTCCATTGGAATTAATAAGCATAATATTGCTTATCCATTTTAATAATAAAATAAACATTTTAAAAGGACAGTTCTGCCTCTAAAATCTGATTGGATGAACAATGTGCAAAATTACGTGTGGAAAAGCCGATGTACAGCACTGTTCAAAAGTTTGGGGTCGGTTAGAAAGTCTCGTGCTCCTCAATACTGCATTTATTTGATTAAAAATACAGTCAAAATAGTAATATTGTGAAATATTATTTCACTATTATTATTATTATTAACTATTATTATAGTTTTCTATTTCAATATATTTTAAAATGTAATTTATTCCTCTGATGGCAAAGCTACATTTTCAGTGTCACAAACATTTCTTATTATTATTAGTGATGAAAATAGTTTAGCTAGCTAATATTTAATATTTAATAGCTAATATTTTTTGTAGAAACAGTGATACATTTTTCCCAAAAGTGCAGAACTTATTTGAAATAGCTTTGCTGCCACTTCACATCAGTTTAATGCATCCTTGTTAAATAAAAGTATACATTTCTTAAAAAAATCAAATCAAATAAATAAATTGAAACTTACTGACCCAATCTTTTGAATGGTAGTGTATATTTATAATATAGATAAATGTACTGTGACATTGCACATACTAAGCATTATATACTGTAATAATATTTGTTAAATTTATTAAAAAGTTAATATAAAGTTATATCTATGTTTTATAGTGAAGAATTATGCATAGGTTCTTTCTGAAGGATTAACAAAAACAGTTTTCATTTATTCAGTATTTTAATGTGGCAGGTCGTTGAATACACATCCTCACACATAATGGAATAATTATAAATCTTGAGAAATGTGGAATATAAAAGAGAGAAAATAAAAGTAAAACCACCCAGCAGACAGGCAATATGCAATTTATTGCACACACTGAACCACATAAGTAATAATATTTAAGTGGACTTAATAACATGTTTTTAATTCATGTTTTTAATTTACTTAATACTAGGGCTTTCAGTCGATTTAAATTTTGAATCTAATTAATTACATGATGTTTCGATTAATTAATCTAATTAATCTCAATTAATCGCAAAATAAATTTGACTGAAAATACCCACAAAAGATTATTTAAAGCAATTTTTGTGTAAAACGAGAAAGTATCAAGTAGACATTACAAATTGTAGTTTTTTTTCAACATAAAATTTATTACACATAAACATTTAGGCTACAACGGCCTAACATAAACTATGGAACATAAAAGAAGATAATTTGAGAAACATCTCAGTATTTTTGTTCATACAATGAAAGTCACTGGTAACCAAAACAGCTTTGTTACCAACAGTCTTCAAAATACCTTCTTTTATGTTCCACAAAAGAAAGAAAGTCATTCAGGTTTGAGTAAATGATGACAGAATTTAATATTTTGTTTGGTTAACTATCCCTTTAATGTTATTATTATTTTAAATGAAATAATACTCTAAATAAGAAAATAAATCTGCCAGCAGGTGGCGGTAAATGTCTTCATTCGATTCGTTCAAACGGCTGATTCATTCAGGAATTCAGTAAACGACTCTCTTTATGAATGGGCCTTTGAATCATTGATTCACACGATTCTTACAAAACGCGGATTCATTCAGAAACTAAACACCGCTGTGTTACTCGGAGACGCAACAGTTCTGCTGTGGCTTTAAAGGTAATATATTCTCTGCAAAATTGAACAAAAACACATAATATTCTGTTTAAAATATAACACAATATCAACTTCTTATTTACTGAACTGTTGTATAAAATCACATTTAAACAAATTTTTCATTTTTTTGCCCCAATATCTTTAATTTCAGAGCATAACTGCATTTATGGAGTTGTTGCCCTGCATCATGTTTGTCAACAGTCAGCTGTATGAAATGTAAGATGACGTACAAGTCTGGGGGCGGGGCCAGTGCATTAACTGCGTTAAAATATTTTAATCGCTTTATTTTTTCATAACTAATTAATTAAGTCAACGCGTTAAACTGACAGCCCTACTTAATACATTCAAAACAAATGTAAAGGCGTATTTTATCAGAACTGCATGGTTTTTATTTTTTTAAGAATGCATTGAAACACTGGCCAGTCTGGGTAATATTAAATCATCAATATTTGGCATTAAATTTGTCACCACTTTGTGTTTTAAAAGGTAAAATGAGCAATTTGCCACTTCAAGATTTGTGCAATGCCTTAGTCAAATGCAAATCTATCAAATCAAGACACAGCGCAATTGGGTCTTACTAGAACAGACACAGCAATGATGACCGATGTCTGTGAATGATCATAATTTGCCAATCCTTAGTGAAACAGACCACACCCTGCCAGAACATTACTTAAGTGAGCTTAATCTGTAATTTCATCTGTTTCTTGAAAACTGGTGTCTTTTGTTATATTTTTGTTGCCATAATTTTAGAAACTCTTCTTCCTTTTATGCCAACTAACATCCTGTAATGCTCTGCAAAACACATGGCATCTCAAAGCTTTAATACAGAATGGTTTATCATAACAATAAGTGTGTTGAATTATAATTAAGTCGATACACTGATTTATTTCCTGCAGAAACTTTCTTTTGTGCTGTCAACAAATGCCACATTCTCACTACTGCAAATATAATACATATTTGAATGCAACACAGACACGCAGTCAAGCACGACACATATTTTTATGGCTGGATGAAAGGCAGCTATTGAAAAACAGCATTTACCGATTGTGGGCTTTCGTCTCCTCATTTCTGGAGAGGGCGAGGGAGTGGGCACGTAGTCTGTGTTAGAGGACATGGAGTCATTCTTCTGGACAGGAGGCTCCACGCTGACATCTACTAGCCAGGTGATAGGCACCCAACCGAGAGGCTGTTTATAGCGGGCGTGCTGCAGGGCATTGGTGATCCAGCGGACGTCTCGCCACATCTCGTCCAATTGCTTCAAACACACAAAGGAAAAAAACAAAGCGAGGTTGAGTGCGCTGTTATTTCATTGGAAATGCTGAAAATAAGGTTAGCTTGAAAACTAAAGGGTGCTATTTAAATGTTGATTCGATATAAATGCAAATCGCAGCTTTCAGTGTGAGAAATGTGGTATTTCCCCCACACAAACCTCGCAAGCGTTTTCCCCACAAACATCACAAAGCTTTTCAAACCAGTAAAGTGCATCACACAAAAGCTTCAAAAGGAGGCCACAGCAAACTTGCTGTGAAGTCTGAAGGGGCATGACCGTGACTAATATCATAATTTATTTTGTGTCATCTTCCTCTGTTCACCAATCACAGCACGTCAGAGCTGAATTGTACATATTGCTCCTGTTTAGTGTGCAGAAGCGAAATGAGAGGTAAAATGTGTTTTCAATCAGAGCTGTTAACCTCCATGCAGTGAATCTTCACAACTACCACTTTCATATTTTCCATCCTTGGGACATACTATAGCAATTGTATTTACAAGGAGCTTAGTTCAAATTGGAAGGAAAAAGGCTGTACAAAAATGAAGCAGGGTAGATGAAAAAAAAAAAAAAACGCTCTGCAATCTGAGCTCTTTCTAGCAAATGCCATGTGAGATCCAGCTTATGGGAATGAGCCTTGACACCACAGGATGACTCCTTTGGAAAATATGCCGGGCTTCTAACGACAAAGAGGGGACTCCAGTATGACAAGGGCAATAATATGAGTTTCTTTAAGTTGCGAAATAGACTACTTCAACTAATAAATGTTTGGCTGATGCTGCTGGCTGGGAAATATTACAACAAATTAGGGGAAAATAAGAATAAATAGGCAGGGTGGCTTATATCATACCCAGTGCTCCAATATAGCAGCAGGGAAAAATCATGTTAAATGGAAATAATAAAAATTTAACTGACCATATAATTGAGCATTTTTAGGATAGCAAAATGAATATGCCTGACCATTATTAAAGGGATGAGAAAATGTTTTCCCTTTCATGTGCGTCAAAGGCTGTGCAGTCAAACTCGACAGTATTTTGACGCAAAATATTTGGCGAAATGTTTTTTTTTTTAAATACTAGAGAGATCCAACATGGACAGGCTGCTTGTCAGCCATTCCAATAGGGCCGTGGACTGCATGGATGGGGATAATAAAATGCAACTGACTATATAATCATGCATATTTAGGAGAGCAAAATTAATAGGCCTGACCATTAACAGAGATGAGAAAAGGCTTCTCGTTTTTATATGCATCAAAGGCTGTGAAATCAAACTTAACAGTATTTTGATGCATAATATTTGGAAAAAATGTTAAAATATTAGACCAATGCAACACAGAGAGAGACAGGCTGCTTTATCCTGAAGCTATAAAAAACAACAACAAAGTAGAAGAAAACATGACTCGTATTACATTAAATAAAGGTTCAGTTCCAAGGAGAATAATTATTGGTTTGTGTCAAGTATAATTTGTTTTGTGTAGTGAGTTATCGGCTGTCAACGAAAACATTAAAATTCAAGAGATATTTCGAAACTAACAGTGAATGTTCCTTCTCAGCCTGTCATGTTAACAATTTTAGTGTTAGATTTAAGGACATTTTTGTTCATACACAACTTTGGTATCCTCTTGATTCACCACTTTATGCCCATAGTAAAATCTGGGCCCTGAACTAACTCTAAAGCAGTTGAGTAATATCAGATTAACTAGTAGCTTATTTCACACATTATATAGCAGCAAACTTGTAAATCTGCCAACTTAAAGCCAAAAAGTTGCATTTGAGTGTCATGGAAGCTCCGTCTCAATGACACATCTCGCCACATGCATCTAAAACACGCATTTTTTGCGGTCTGCCGTTAGCTCTTTGAGAGGACCTCACAGCGATATAAACCTGCCCACTCGCACGAGAGCAGAGCGCAAAGCACTTTCCACCACCGTGCCACTCTGACAGACGTGGCTCTTTCTGGTTCGCCGCCTCCTGGAACATTAAGGTTTTCACGCTAATTGATGCCACATTGCTCAGCCCCACACACACATTCATGCAGTCACACTCATTGATCGGTATTATTTTTTCCCCTCGTCGCTCTTAGGCGCTGTGTAATCTGTGGTCAGTGTGCTGCTTTTTTCCAGCGCCTCTTGGACCTGACATCACACAAACACTCTTGTGGTTTTGTGGTCAATCTCAATTAATCGTCCAGACCGGGGTGGCGTAGAGGGATTATTTCAGACTGGCACACTTAACACACGCCTGTCTTTCAAGTCGAATTGTGAGAGAGTCTGCTGAGCTGTTATTGAAATTTCGACACAAGGAAAACAACTTGTTTTACAGTTTATAAGTCTAGTAGTTATGCTTTATGACATCAATAAACTATCCTAATTGGATTATTAGTTTAAATTGTTTTTGTAGTTTGATGTTTCCAACACTCCCAAGCGGCTGGGAATAAACATGTGATCCTCAGGATTGAAACATGAATGACGTATTGCTAAAAGTTGTAATTGAAACAACACGAATGTGGCCAATAAAAGGGAATGAAGCAGTAAAGCATAATTTCAGATAGTGTACAAACAATTTTAAAATACAAAATAGCAATAAAACACCACCATTGCATTATCCTAAACACCTGTTTGTTGCGCATACTGCATGTTTTGACCTATGAAGTCATTGCATTGACATAAGACTGAAATGACCACATGCAATACCATTCAAAAGTTGGGGATCAGTAAATTCCTGAAAAAAACGTTATCAGTTTCCACAAAAAAAATATTAAGCAGCACAATTGTTTTCAAATGTGATAATAATAAGACATTTTATTTGAGCACCAAATCAGCATATTAGAATAATTTCTGAATAATTTCTAATCATGTGACACTTAAGACTGGATTAATGGCTGCTGAAAATTTAGCTTTGCCATCACAGGAATAAATTACATTTTAAAATATATTCAAATGGAAACTAGATATTTTAAATTGTAAAAATATTACAATTTTATTGCATTTTTTTTGACCAAATAAATGCTGCCTTAGTGAACATAAGAGACTTATTTCAAAAACATTAATAACAGTAGTTTACTTCTCATTTATTCAAGGTTATTAGTCAATAGTCAGTGACTGCTGAAAATGCGAAAGCATATTATTTAGTGTAAATTCCCTGTTGTAGATCAAAAACACCACCGAAAACACTGTTAAGCTTGGCTAAGGACGAAGATGCAAAATGCCTGCAGTGCAACAAATTACTTAAATTGGGAGGAAATGGATTTGTTGTGATGGATGTGCAAAGTGGGCTCACATTGAGTGCACCAATCACAATGGAGATTCATTTGCAAATGATTCCTGAACTAACAATAGTTCCAAGACGTACAACAAGTTGTACTAAACACAAAATAACACAGATCTTATAAAACATCTATTTAAGAGTGAGATTTAAGTGAAGAAATGAGAAGAAAATGCTACATGTTCAAATCAGGTATTTAGCTTGAACAATCACCCAAAAAGATATTGCTACAGAAAGAGTTTGCATATGGTGACAAATAATTTTTTTGTATTATATTTATGAGTCCAAGCCTTTATTAAGTACTTGTTTTTTTTGTAAAAAGAAACCATAAAAGCTAAAAAATGGCATTGCTCCATCAATACATTCCATATAGAGCTGAAATAAATTATGTAAAAATATAATTTTTAAAGGGGTGGTTGATTGCGATTTCACTTTTTTAACGTTAGTTAGTGTGTAATGTTGCTGTTTGAGCATAAACAATATCTGCAAAGTTACGAAGCTGAAAGTTCAATGCAAACTGAGATATCAGTCTTTTAAAATTCTGGCAGTTTAATGCCTACAAAAATGGCTGGTAGGGACTACAACAAGATACTTCCCGGGTTCATGACGTAACATAACAAATACTGTTCCTCACGTTCCCCTGCTCTGCACACGCTCTGCATCTATCTCTCTCTCTCTCTCTCTCTCTCTCATTCAGCTCAGCTCCAACAATGAACTGTTTCAATTATACACTTATTTTCACATAGCTATGAGAAACGCTATACATGGACGCCAAGACGACAGATTCTGAGGGAGGGACTTCATAAAAGCAGGAAATTATCAGCGCGTTTCTCAGAGAAGGGATAGAGCGGTGTGGAATAAAGGTAAATTATATGAAAAATAATGCGTTTTTTAAAAAACTAAGCATTAACACGTTAGACTGCATCCCATAAACACAATCAAACATAGAAAAAAAAACAGTGAACCAGTGAGTCCAGGCCTTTATACAGTACTCAACAGTAAAAAAATGTTTTGCACCATCAATATTCAATAAAATACTGTACTACATTATGTAAAATTTAATTTATAAAGAGAAATCTTTTTTGTTTATCGTATAATTTGGAGCAAGGGAGAGGAAAAAAAATTACAAATCACATTACCCTTCACAGAACATACCTGAATGTAGTCCAATATGTGCTGATGTCTCTGTTTGGCTGTGGACACCTCTGAGTCAGTGATGGCCTCTCTAAAAGCCTGCTGGGTAATTAGAGCGTCCAGGTCCAGCACTGAGGACAGCCGGCAGTAAAGACTGATAAATTTCTCCTTATATGAGCAGAAGTGAACTGCACATGGGAGACAAAAAATATATAATACCACACTTAGTAATGGACACTGTCATATAAGGGCAACACTAGACAGATATTATTGCATTTTTCAAATTGACTTCACTGGGTGGTGTGCGCGTGAACTTGAGACCCAAGGAAGGTTATCATTAATGTCCGAAAAAACACTGACAAATCTTTTTAAAAGACGTTTTTGTAATGGAAATCTGTGGGTGGTTTACAAGTGTATGGTGTTTGGGTTGAAAACACCTCACAGTATAACGTTTAAAAAGTTGTTTGAAACTCTCCCCACAACAGCAGCTGAATAAGCTACTAAGTGTTCTAACTGGCACCACTGCTAAGCATACAAGCACGCTGAAAACAAACCCTGCTATTTGAAAGAAAATTATCTGCCGTTCTTTAAAACACATTTTATTGAATTATAATATTGATGACTTGTTTAACCTTTCCTTATTTTACACAGTCTGGGCTCAGCAAGGGGGGTGGGTGGCTAGCCGTGGTGCGCACAGCCACCCCGCTGGTGTCTGCATGTGTGTGTGTCTGCTTGATTTACTAGAGGTCCTAAGGGAGTGTGACTGGGGGCAGAGGGGGGAGGAATCTGTGGATTTTTATAAGGCCAACTGAGCTAATATTGTAGGGGTTGAAACAGAAGCCAGTGTACCGAGCTCAAACATTTGAAGAGGGAGGTTGAGGAACCCCGAGTGTGGTGTGTAGGGGTTGGTCTGTCCCGGGGCAGAGCAAACGTCGTCTGAGGCAGGCAGCAGCAGAAGAAAGGACACATTGTGACCCAGCTCCAACACCTCGTGTGTGTAGAGACGGAAGTGCTTGGCCTGTGCACGACACACAGAGACACACACACACTTTAACCCACAGGGGTCGAAGGGTAACAATGTTATGCCGTAACTAAGTAGCGAGCAAAAATTCCTAAAACTCAGTAGTACAGACAAAAAGTTACTCTTACAAAACTATGGTAACCACAATTGATCTGTAGTATCTATAGTATAGTATAGCACAATCTATTTATAGTCTATCTATCTATCTATCCGTCTGTCCTTCCATCCATCCGTTTATCTATCATCCATTCATTTGTCCCCTCCATCTAACCATCCATTCATTCATCCCCTCTATCTATCCATCTGTCTTTGTCTAACATCTGCTTATCCATCCATTATCCATCCAGTTTATTCATCTATCCATCCATCCATCCTTCCATTTATCAATCCATCCATCCTCTCTATCCATACGTCTTTGTCTATCCATCTGCCTATCCATCCATCCATTTGTTTATCTATCCATCTATTAATCTGTCCACTCTATCTAACCATCCATTCATCCATCCATCCCCTCTAACAATCTAAAAGTGTTTGCCTATCATCTGCCTATCCATCCGTCCATCCATCCCCTCTATCCATATTTCTTTGTCTATCCATCTGCCTACCCATCCATCCATCCATTCGTTTATCTATCCATCCATTAATCTGTCCCCTCTGTCTAACCATCCATTCATCCATCCATCCCCTCTAACAATCTAAAAGTGTTTGCCTATCATCTGCCTATCTATCCATCTATCCATCCATCCATCCATCCGTCCATCCCCTCTATCCATATTTCTTTGTCTATCCATCTGGCTACCCATCCATCTATCCATTCGTTTATCTATCCATCCATTAATCTGTCCCCTCTATCTAACCATCCATTCATCCATCCATCCCCTCTAACAATCTAAAAGTGTTTGCCTATCATCTGCCTATCCATCCATCTATCCATCCATCCATCCGTCCATCCCCTCTATCCATATTTCTTTGTCTATCCATCTGCCTACCCATCCATCCATTCATCCATTCGTTTATCTATCCATCCATTAATCTGTCCCCTCTGTCTAACCATCCATTCATCCATCCATCCCCTCTAACAATCTACAAGTGTTTGCCTATCATCTGCCTATCCATCCATCCGTCCGTCCGTCCATCCCCTCTATCCATATTTCTTTGTCTATCCGTCTGCCTATCCATCCATCCGTCCGTCCGTCCGTCCGTCTCAAAGTATTCCCACTTTTCACACTACTAGTTTTATATAAGCTTTAAACTTAAATCGCTCTTTTCAAACAACTTAAGTACGCAAACTGAATAACACCTAAATAACTTGAGCTATTTTAACCATTTTAAAAATAACAAATATTGATAAACTTTAATTTCTGATGATTGTGGTGCTTTTCACCAAGTTACCACAGACTTGTCCTGTAGACTACAGTACCTGGTGGAGAGGTAGATTGATCTGGTGCAGCAGACCCTTAATGGCCGTCTGGAGCTCAGAGAAGAGGAGGCAGTCTGTAGCCTGATCTGCTGTTTCCACCTCCACAGGGCCAGACAGTGACTGCAGCCATTCCCACTCATCCCTGGGTGGGAAGAGACAGCGTTTAGTCAACATACACACAGCTCTATATTACTCTTTCCAGAAGAGCCCTCGACAGAGTGGTTTCCAAAGGCTAGTGGGATGGCATGTCAGGTCTGATTTTGAGAGTAAGGTTTGGTGTGATGCTTGTGACCAACCACTCAACACATTTTTCTTTTAATATGAACATGCTACACTAAGAAAAGTACTAGTTTAATGTCCAAAAATGCTAAAACGGACACCTAGGAAAATGACAACCCTTGAGTATTTGTAAATTATTGCAGAGAAAACTTTAAAATAACTGAATTAGGTTTTACATTATTATCTGTGTGAAAATATCCATAAATCATGTTGGCACTGGTTTACAGTGAGGTAAAATGATTTAAAATTCATTTAACTTTCTATAAATTTCATAAAAACTGAGAGGATGAAAAGCATCAGCTCACAGTACGCGGTTAAGATGACGGAGCAAAATATAGTAATTTGGTCTTAGTCTCAAGGACACCCTCAAGGCTAGCGTCTAGGGGGCAAATTATAGAGAAAAAGGAGAATTTCTTTGCTCCAGAGGTTTTCCTCGAGCCGTGAGTGGGCATCATCCTGTGTGAACCTCCCACAGTCCGGCCCCGTAGTAAATTTAGTTTTACTACCACACAGAGCTGCAGGATAATACTCTCCCTGTCTCTAGCTACCTACCAAGGTCAACACCATGACCCGAGATGAAAATAAATAAATAGCTCCTTTACCGAACAAAAACAAATAGCAGTTTTGTTTTGACTGTAAAAAATGGTGGTGTCAAGAAACTATGTAAGCCTGTGGTGAGGGGGAGCCCGACACGGAGTTCAGGCATATTTCAATCTTCTCAGGTACACTCGCTCTGGAGAGCTCGTATTCGCTTCACCTGTAAGAAATATTAACTTGCTTCTGTACTATAAAAGGTTTAAAACTGAACGTCCATATCAATAACGTTCATTAGATTGCATGAAAGTTTTCCTGATGAGTCAAGATGTACATATACTGTACATTTACTGGTACTTTGTTAAAAGCGAAAAATTAATAAAAAATTAGAAATTATTCTATGCTTTAATTACAGGCTTTGAATACATGCTTTAATTGTCTTTGTCCAATGCTTTTAAACCTAGGGTCTTTTTTCTTCAATACATTTTGACATGAAAAAAAGACAGAGAAAAAAGGGCTTCTGAGAACTGCTTTGGGAACTGCGAAATGCAGGATGATTTGAGGAAAAAAGTATGCTAAAAACACATTCACACTCATTTACTAGTTTAAGTAGTTTCATATATTCAGAATATTCTATTTTCCCCAAAGCAGGCCCAAAAAATTATCTCATTTGTTGTGTCACATATTATCTAGAGTCTTACTTTTTATTTGCACAAATTTGCATTTTTCATTTAAAAATCCCAGGTCAGTTTCCTGCAAGTTTGTGGGAGTAGCTATGGAAGCTTATTTCCGCCATGGGGTTAAAAAAAAAATCAAAAGATAATTGGTCTTTTTAATCTCACAATTTAGACTTTTTTCTTGCAATTCTGAAATATAAAGAATTGTGAGATACAAACTCAGAACTCTGACTTCTTCTCTTGCAATTCTGTTTATATTTCAGTTTATATTTTGCAATTCTGCCTTTTTTTCTACGAATTCTGAGTTTACATCTCGCAATTCTGTTTTTTTGTTTCTACCACAAAATAAAAAATACAATAGGAAATTGACTTTAATATCACAATTAAGATTTTTTTCTCGCAATTATGAATTAACATTTTGTGATTCTGAGTTTATATCTTGATATTCTGACTTCTTTTCTCAGAATTCCAAAAAATAATTCTAAATTGTGAGACAAATTCAGAAAAGAAAAAAAAAACAGAATTGTGAGATAAAAAGTGGCAACTACATTTTTATTTTTGAAACAGTCACATTGAAGAACACTGCTAACCTTGACACATTCCAGTTGTCTCGTATCTTGGTGTGGCAGAGCATGTTGGGCATACGTTGAGGAACCAGAACTTTGATCTGGTCCACAGAGCTGCTGAGCTTCAGGTAACCCAGATAAAGCCCTGAGGACAGCCGGTGCTGACTTCGTCTCTGATAGGCCAGAATGTCCTACAATCAAAAGGACAGTTTAAATTTCATTCTTTTTCTGAATAAGAAACAAATGGTGGATTATTTGGGGTATCATTCATTTCTGTAGACTAAAGGTGCAAGAGTTGATGTTTGAGTCAGGACAGAGCTGTAGTTACCTGTATGGTTATGAGAAGGATGTCCAGGGCATAAGGTTCCTCAGGAGTGGACAGAGACTTCCTCTGACTCTGCAGTTTGGATACCTGCATCCATTTCCCGTTGAAAAAGGAATAAAGGCTATCCATCTCCCTCACTGTCACAAGCAGCACATTCCCATGACGATCCTTAATGGGCTCATAGTGGACTCGGCCCAAATTGTGACTGCCCAGAAGATTCTATTTGGAGAAAATCAGAAGTAGAAAAGAATATAACCCTCTGATGCTGTGCATGGTGTCCACCACAAAACAATTGTTAATTTTTTATACTTTATTTCCAGTGTGACATTGAAACCACCATGGAACGATAATAATATATGACTGTCCTCTTTAATGTATCATTATGGTTTTTATTTATGACAACAGAAATACAAAGCACAAAGTATTTCTGGAACGCTGGACTGGACCGATGTGTAATTATCTCAAAATTTAAAGAATTATTATTATTTTTTTTTAATTAAAAGTCATATTTTATAATTACTTAATAATAAAATATATAAACTACTTAAATAAGAGTTATATTGTATTTGTATCGCACTGAAGTAAAAATAAATATTTAAAATATTTTAATTCAGTTTCCAGAAAAAAATGCATTTTTGTACTAAAAAGCAGTTAAGTAGTGTATGTTGGCCAAAATAATTGTTATGCAATATGAAATATGCTCAAACACAAACACAGGCACACACTCCGCTCAGAATCCCACATAAGAGATTATCCCACTCAATTTCAATTTGTACTGAGATCAAGTCCCATTATAGTGATAAATTGTTAGCAAGGCTCATCACAGGCTGGCAAACCTGCAGTTGGCCCGCGGCCGCCAGCATCTTCTGTCTGGACTGCAGAGTGGAAGAGGAAGAGGTGGAGACTGCCAGGCTCTGTCTCAGCCACCGGACGTCTTCCCACATACAGGACAGCTGCAAAATAAACACACACGCACACTTGTGAAGTTGGAGGAAGCTATTTACCTAATTCCTCAACATCATTCAAAGTCTGTGCATGAATGCCAGAGTGCTTTATCTTCAGTGAGGCGACATCCCTGCTATAAGGTGCTTTCGATGGAAAAGTGCATCATTCTTTGAGACGAAACCATCTGTGCCTGACTGTTTAGCCTTCAAACTATTTTAAACTTGGAGACAAGGTTTATCAAGCCAACATCAAAATTTGCCTTGACGAACTTTCATTTTTTAGTTGCATATTAGGAGACAAGTTGTAAAATAAACATTTGGATTCGGACATGAGCGCTTAAAATGCTGCAAGGCTCGTTCTGCGAGTATAACTTTACCTCCAATCTCACCATAAAATCTAGAAGTATTTGGCCATCAAACAAAGAGCTATATTCTGCTAAGACTCTCTCTGCTTCTTGCATCACACCACTTTAGCCTTGTAATGATGGGCTAATTACAAACGAGCGGCCTAACGTCAAAAGTGTGGTGACTGTTCACTTTGACAGAATATATTTAGGACGCTAAGCTGACCGCAGGCTGCATTTAGAAGAAACCAACAAAAATATTGACACTTGTCAAAGAGATGTGTAACGAAAACATCGAAAATGTATGTTTCAGTTCAGCGTTAACAAAACGCATGTTACTTTAGTGCAGTATCTCCGTGCTGACCTCTCCGCTGCTTAATGTCGCGGTTGACTGTATGTTTTTACATACCTTGGTGAACCACAGAAAGTCCTGCATGAGGGAGCTGCTGTATGAGTCGTCCACCTCCACTATGGGGATCTGATCCTCATTAGTCACTAGCAATGAGCAGTACAACAAAGTAGTATTATAGTACATTGTAATAATTATACCAGTTTTATTTTCTATTCATTAGAAAAGTTTATAAAAAAGTTTGCCGTTTTTACAACTCTTGCCATTAAATGTTGTTTAAAACCCTAGACAGCAATTTTGACATTTTCTAGCAATAAATATTACATAAACATCAAAATTGTTTTCGGTCATTTAAATTAGATTTTTTTTACTGATAATTTAATATCACAATTAATTATAAATAAATTATAATTATAAAAAAAGGCATTATAACGGCAAAATATACTGTTATTTAGGGCCAGATTTACTAAACAGGGCAAATTAGCGTTAGAGCGCAACTCCATAAAAGCACAGATGGGAGTGGAAAATTCTGCGGGTGATTTACTGACAAGGCGCACATTAAATAACACAGATGCAACATCTCATTTCCATAATGAGCAGCGCAATCTACCAAGAGCAGCACAAATTACGCCTGCTTTACGACATGCTTTTTTTGGCGTTAAATAATGGCGCAAATACCAATAATTGCATGAACGCAAACGTTAGTAAATCACGTTGCGCGATTCATTTTAATACTCTCCTCCCGTAAATTTTGCGTCTGAAAGGGAAACTCCTACAAATGCATATTCAATAAGGTCATGATGCTATATAAACTCCCCTGAAAAAAAAAACAGCCAAGAGAACCTATTCAGAACAAGGTGAATTCAGCTATAATGTCAATTCTATAATGCTTGGCACTTTCCAAGAATAGAGTACAAAATAGGCTCTGAGATTCCTAAAAAGGGCTCTTTGTTTTCAGCAAATATTTAGTGATATGGAGCACTAATTCATCACTGCGCGTCTTTAGTAAATCCTGACAGTACTATATGTTAACGCCAAAAGACGGTTTGCGATGGCCCAAGCTGTTAGTAAATCTGGCCCTTAATCATTAATTCAAAACATTCTTTAAAAATAATGACATTGTTGTTTGATTTTGATTGCTGTATTCAGTTGAAAAGGTCAAAAAGACCTGAGGTGGAAAAGGCCAAATTACCATTTTACGGCTGAGGATAGAAACATTTCATGTGGTCAAAACTACTTTTATGCACATGTCTAAAAGTACAACAATACAATAATAACCATTTATTCTTCTAATGCCGTAATAAAACTAATGTGACACCAATATGTAATCTATCTGTCGGAAGTGCCACCTATTTTTTGTAATATGCTCATACCACCTTTTGAGACTCTTGACAAATTTAGTAGAGGAATGAAAAAGGTGTTTCAGGCTCCGGGACATTGACTGTTTACGACTTGGATTCTGCAACTTTGATGTGTCTGGAAAAAAAAAGAGGCAAGAAATGGAGTCAAGATGAACAAAGAGGTGAAAACAATAAAATATATAAACTAGTGTGGGAGACTGAAGATAGTGTGAGAGACCTACAATGGAAAAACAGTGTGAAAAATCATACTCTAGTCAGTTCTTGGATTCATTCTGGCTTCCTTAAGACTGACTAGTTGTTTAGAAAACCCAATCATTAACTTGAGTATGAACTATGTAGTTTTAATCATCCTCTGGAGATTAACGTTTCAGGATTACTTGAAAACACTCTTGTCATCAAGACACAAAAATGTCATTGTAAAGAGCAAAACAGAACAAACAACATGCTGAATGAAGAAATAAACATAGGGGAACTTTGAAGACAGACAGGGTGAAAGAGCCTCAGGGGTGTAAGAGAGGGTTCGGGGGAGTCAGGCCACCGACAAAACGGTTATCTGGAACATTTCAGCTGCGTATCTCCCACTTCAAGCGCAGCCATATCAGTCCACATTTCAGCGATGCCAATCTTCAGACGTCCCAGTTTTCATGAAATTAAGCATCACGTAATTGCCCCCCGTGTAAACAGCAGGGCAGACGAAACAATCCATTTGGCTGAGAAGCTGTTTACAATGTGAAAGTGGCCGTCAGAGCGAGCGAGTCACCGTGAGAGCAATCACACTAACCCTAGTCTCCGTGTCTCCACCGGAGGGGCTTGAAAGGGAGGTAGGAAGGCAGATTTTCCGTTTGAAAATCACTATCAAACCCCTCAAGGAATAATGTGTCTTAAAAGTCCCTTAAGACGATTAACCCTTGGCCCCTTTGACTCTACAGTGACGACTGTTAACAGTACGTGATTAAATGCGCACACTGATTGTTTCCTGCTTGGCTAGATATCGACATAACGTAACCTCAAAACCACAACACAGAATCTTACTGGAATCTCAAGACAATTAGGTCCCTACTGAAAAAAAAGTCAAGTTTGATTACATACACTGGAATATCACAACCAGATTTTAAGGTTAGGATGTCAACCGCAATTTTTGTATCCTAACAAGTAGGAGTGAGAACATAATTATCCACTTTGGAAACATATTAAATCCGTTTTAACATTTTTTATGTGAAGTTCAGCGGTAGTTCCCAGTCTGCACAAATAGAGCCATTGCACGTGTTGATAAGCTGAGTGCAGAATTTGTATTTATTTCTCCCTCAGAAGGTTAACTGGCTTTGACAAGCAGATTATAAGACATGAGTGCATTGGCCTCCTGTGCCGCCAAACTGTCACACTAAATAAATAAAGAAATGCTTTTTCATTTGTGAAAGCAAAAGGAAAAAACGGATCGCCTTTGATTAATGACTTGGCAATCCATCTGTCTACCGCACAGTGAGTGCAACCATGAAATGAGGTGAGTGAGCGAGTGCTGGTAGCATTCTTTATTATCTAACTAATTTAGCGGGGGTCAACGGACCCTTTTCAACATACGAGAGCGAGCGAGATCATCCATAACGATCATGGCCAGACTTTCCAGGCCTTCGCTGACAGAAAGCGCTTACATAGCCGCGGTGGAGAGCACGGAGGTGTGCGTGTGAGCGATCGCGTTGTGTGTGTGGGTGTTGCTGTGTCTCCTGCTGGAACACTGGGAGCTGTGTGCGCGACGCACACACACACCCCTCTGCTTGAGAGCAACCTCTCAGCTCCACATATACACATCATAAATTAAGATAACCTCTGCTTAAACGAGCTGCATTTTTTTCAGAGCGGTTTTTATAGTGGTGTCATTGTACCGATGCTGATTAATTTTGCAGATTTATTTTCGAACACCGTCGCTCCAAAAATAACTTGGGTAAATACTTTGCCTCTGCCAACATGTGTGCTTATGGGGACACATAATGCACACATATTGCTAAGTATTTTTTTTTATCTTCTTTTCTAGTAAAAATCTCTATATGTCCTTAAAACTAGATTAATTTCTTAAGAAATGTATTCTTGTTTGCTCATTCTCTTATTTTTTGCATTTCACTCATACCTCAGAATTCTAACTTACATTTAAAACTTGACATTGTACACCGCAAATATAATTGGCTAAAAAATTGTGACGTTCCTACTTCCTACTAATAAGATGCTTTGGATAAAAGTGTCTGTCAAATAAACAATGAATAAATTTAAATGTAGAAGCAAAATTGAATAAGACATAAAGACTTGTTTTCAGAGATGATATATACCGTGTGTGTGTGTGTACTTGTTTATGCTACATTGTGGGGACCAAATGTCCCCACAAGGATAGTAAAACCTGAAATTTTGAAACCTGAAACCCGGCCTGCGGTCCCCACAAGGGAAAAAAAATATAAAAAATAGTAAATGATGTATATCTGAAAGTGTAACAATGCAAACAGGTTTTCTGTAAGGGGTGGGTTAGGGGATAGAAAATATTGTTTGGTCAGTATAAAAGTAATAGATGTCCATGGAAAGTCCCCACAATTCACAGAAACAAACGTGTGTGTGTGTGTGTGCATGCTAAACTCACTGTGCCTTACAGACTTATGTTTTATGCATCTGTTTCCAATTTGTTTGGTATTTTGAATTAAAATGTTTCCTTTGTTTACCATTTGAAAGTCCCCACAAGGATAGTAAAACCTGAAATTTTGAAACCTGAAACCCGGCCTGCGGTCCCCACAAGGGAAAAAAAATATAAAAAATAGTAAATGATGTATATCTGAAAGTGTAACAATGCAAACAGGTTTTCTGTAAGTAGTAGGGTTAGGGTTAGGGGATAGAAAATATCGTTTGGTCAGTATAAAATAAATAGAAGTCTATGGAAAGTCCCCACAATTCACAGGAACAAACGTGTGTGTGTGTGTGTGTGTGTGTGTGTGTGTGTGTGTATATATATATATATATAAATAAATAAAAAATATATATATAGCAGATTTGTCGTTAAAATAAGAAATAAAATAAAAAAATAAATAAAATACAAATATTTGACAGTATGTATGGTAAGAAAAAACTATATTTTATTATTTTATATTCTTCTTTAAGGATTTTTCTTTAAGGATTTTTCATTAGAATATTTTAATTGGAATTTTTACTATTCAATATATATTCTCTGGAAACAAGTCAGAGAATCTTATTATCTAATGCCCACACTGAAAACTCATAAGACCAAAATCCCACTCTGCATATATTTACATATGAAACATAGATGAGCCTAGAAAGGATTAATTATGAAATTTGTGAAACACTGGTTGTTGTATCAAAAAACACCCTCACAAAAAAAAAAATTACAAAAAAATTATTATACATATGTTTGTTTTGAGGATAATGTACCTTAAATAACGGTACATTTATGTGGGTTTTAAAGATATTTATATTATCTTATTATCATACACTATTATCATACACTATTTACATTTTTTGTTAATAAATTTATGTGGTAAGATGTTTTACTGAAAAACAAAACATAAATGAAGAAAATGTTTTTTTTTTTGCAATGCACATACCCACATTCTCTCTAAATGAAAACAGACAAAGACAGATGTGTTATTTTTGCATAGTTTCTACTGTTTTTCGGCTTTCCACATCAATAAAAACTCTCATACAGTGTTTTTCTCGTAGAATCAATTCAATAAATTCATTTGTGACACTGGCAGCCATCGTTCTGACATCATTAGTGTTGACTTCTAAACAGATGAGTGATATCGTTTTTTTGCTCACCTCTCTCCTGCTTGTGGCTGGCTGCATAGTTGGCTAATGAAGCTGCTGTTTGTGAGCAGCGCAGTACTGTCAGCACCAGGAACAGCGTTCTTCTATACCTCGGCAGCCAGCCTCTGGGTTAGAGAGTGGGCTTGAGGCCAAAGCAGACTGTCTATGCTTCACGCTACGTCCAGCCTGCCTCATTTTAAAGGTGTCTGTGCTCGAGCCCTGTGATTTACAGTGCTGCACTATACGGACGACATGTTTGACACATAGATGTTAAAATTTAAAATGGATAAATGTATTAAAACATTATTTATTTACATGTCCTCCTCCCCTTACTCGCGTGAAGAGCGTAGGAGGGCAGGCAGCAGGAATGCTGAGAGAGCGTATTCATACTGCTCTGGATGGCCATACTTGAGTCAAAACACTTTG